CTCCAGCATTTGTTGCACACGTTTCATTACAATTTGCTGGAAACAAATAATAATACTCCCGACATTTGCTTGTTGTTCTAACTTATCAACTTTTGACAAAAAAATTGAATCCTCCTTAGCTTTAAAAACGAAAAAATCGTGCTTCGTTTCATTTTACTAATATAGGCAGTATTCATCTAATTGGCGATTATTTGTCCATTTGCATAACTTACTGGCTTTCGGCTATGTTAGGGTCGATTTGTCGTAACTAAAATTTGCGAAACTTAATCAACTAATGGATTTGTTAATTTCAGCAAGTTTATCGGGTTTATCTACTAGTTATTTAGTCTTTCATGACTTTAGTTAGTCCTCAAGAATACCAACCTTATTAGGGCACATAGATGATCTCCGAATTTGTGTTTTAATGTACTGCAGGCACAAGGCGCGTCCTTGTCGGACTATTTGTGGTTTGACTTGTGTGGGCGAGGCGAGGCACCAGCCTATGGTGGCAGACAGCCTGCGTGACACGGCCGCTGCGGCGGCACTCGACACCATCGTGCTGAACCGTCTTCTTGTACGATCCAGAGGTGACAGGGAACGTGGTGCTGTAGAGAAAGGGATTCGTATCTTAAAGTTACCTCGTCTAATAGAACAACTTATAAGAATTTATTGTATTAGGTTTCAGAATTAACAGTACTTTTTTGGCTTAGAGAAATTAGCAGTCATTGCTTAAAAACTTCTAATAGTGGTAATTACCTGGTCCAGTGAGGCCACCCTCAGCATTGGGCATACCGCTGAGCGGGCTACTCAGTTTCCTGCGCGCGCGCAGCGGCGGCACGATCTCGTCATCTTCTTCGCCATCGGGTGGAGTGACATGTATTGCTATGTTGTTGCCCTCTTGAGTTTTCCTTCCATCCGATTGCCATCTTAAATCTTTTAAAGCCCCTATCTGGAACGCAGACAATACCAATTTTACAATAAGATTAACATACTGACTGTCAGAGAAATGACCTGTGTGCATGTGGTGGAGCTCAATTGAAATTCATGTGATGGAATACCATAAATTAGTTAAATCAATTCTGGTGGCGCAAATATATACAGATCCAATAAGATGTAGACTACCACATAAACAAATAGAAGATATCTTCCGTCTTCAGTGTGTACTTTAAGAGCGGGCGCATATCTTTAAGTAAACTATCGCACAACTGTTATGCGATTGTCGATTATCGATTGTTTCGCATCCAATTCAAACGTTTAGTTACACAACAAAAAAGAGTATTGTGCGCTTTCCCATATAAGCTCGTATGAATCAAACCGAGACTAAACAGTTGTGCGATAGTTTAGTTTCGGGTGTGCACACGCTTTAAGTAGATGTAGATTAAAGGTTTTTTTTACTCATTCTTAGATCACAAGATAAATGTCAAAGAATATGTAACGTACGCCAAGCACACAATGACCAATTAGCTGTATAGGGGACGTTGTGCTACTTATACGGGACGGACGAGATCTATACTGATAATGTTGTAAAGTGATCAGCAAAGTGTCTTTATATTTGGAAGTTTATCTTAGCATTTAGTTCTTATTTGGTGAAGAAAAAGTTTTTTTTGCATGCCGGTAGTTATAATTTTTAAAAATTCGCGCTATGTAGGTTCATATTATATGGAGTTATGGATTCTAAAAATGACTCCATGTTTCCCAAAATCGTCTGTATTCAAGTATTTATAATAAGTTATAAAAGTAACAAAAGGAATAAGACAATAAGTAAAGTTACGCGCAGATTAGGACTAATGTCTCTTTAAGTAGTTCAACAAAGAGATTACGCTAAGAACAATCTGCTGTGGAACAAATACCCGAAAAAGAATTTGGTCATTATTTTAGTCACGCGTTACTAATGTTACAAATGAACTTGTTATAAAAGAATTATAAATTTAGTTAACGACAAAATTCTGAAAGCGGAAAGTCGCGCGTATGCTGATTTTAAAATTTTAATTTACACTAAATAAAATAAATAAATTCAGAGTAACTTGTAACACAATAAACATATAGTTGATTAGGGTTGTAATGGAACTCCGCTTCCGCATCCGCAAGTGCGGAACTTCCGCAAGAAATGATAACTCCGAATCCGCTTCCGCTTCCGTTATTTCTTAGGCGGAGTTATAACGGAGGTTAATTTATATCTTTAACGCGAGTGGGGCGATTAGGTATAGTTTATGCGGCCCGCGCGGCCGTGATATGTCAACTAACTACTTATAATTGTTGTACATTATATTTGCAAAATAAACTGTGTCTTGTAGTTATGTACCAATCTGTATTTTGAATTAATTTAGTTATAGTTTTCATTTCTTTAATTAACCTCCGCTTCTGCAGAGATGAAGCCCTGCGCAACCGCATTCGCTTCCGTTAAAATGGCCTCCGTTATAACTCTAATATTGATTTAGTATACCTAGGTCACTATGTTGTGTCTACATCTCGCACACATACCTATTGACTATTGAATGTCCCGTTCAATGCATTTAAATAACTGTCATTGATGTCTTGATTGTTCGTTTACAATGTGATCTATTTTAAATGCTTTAGAATGGAACATCTTGAAACCACAAAGCGTTCAGCCTTCGCTTTGTGGTACTAAAAGAATTAGATTTATTGATAACTTTTACATTAGAAGGATATTCGGATCAGGCTGGACGACAATTTGTTTCTATACGATTGTTTCGGAAATGGGAACTAACGTATACTGAGTTTTTGACCCTTTTTAAAGGTTGTTTCCAGAAAACTGCTTCATGCAATCTTGCTAATAACTTTAACTTAGCTTCAGACTGCTTGTCTTTGCACACTTCAGATTGCACAACTGCAAAACATTTACCTCATAAAGCGTTATTTCTATTGATGTTGTTTTTTCTTTTTTTTTTTTAATATGTCTTTAATCGATCAAGTTACGTGAACATTATCATTATTTTAATAACTATTTATACAAAAAAGGTCATCATGCGGAGTTAATGGATTGCATTTTACCTACCTCTAGTTGATAATTAAATTTTATATAAAACAATGATTGAACATGTCACATAGAACAAGTCTAATTCAGGTAGCAATAAAATAAGCAGTTAATTTTATCCTTAAAATGATATATTGTCTATACTGATATTTTTTTCGAAATGCCAAAGTTATCGGAACTATAAATAGGAGTGGGATGTATTCGGGGATTTACCGAACGTCAAAGTAATCATGATCACAAATATGGTAATAAAATCCTATATTAGATAGACAACAGAGATTTGAAATATGTTAAAAACATAAAATATTAAAAAAAAGCGATGAGACATGTGTTCGCATATATTTAAAACCAAAAGCTATTGAATACTCGTAAAACATGTAAATGATGTCGTTGTGAGACTTAGGAATTTAGTTATCTAGATCGCTAATAAAAATGCCACACAGGCAGCGTAGGATCCGATCGAAGCGATGATGACCCTGGCTGCCGCTGCGTTTGTAATGTTAATTCTTTCGCTCAATGCTACTGATAAGCGTTGTCACTCGAATACTCAATCGAAGCCGGTTGAGGAAATTTCAGTTGTACCTTTATGGGGCATAAGTCAATGCGAGTATCTCTTTACATCGTGATGTTTCTTTGATAATAATTTATCCCGAAGTTTTGATGACCTTTTAGAGGAAGTTGTGCTGTAGTGCATGTTAATTATATGTTTGCTAATTAATTTTTTTTATAAAAGAATATCTGCTTTGCAGTTTGGCAACTGTTTTATAAGTCAATGTTTAATTTTTGTGTATAAAAAAGTAAATAATATGCATTAAATATAAATAAAACTGATACATTGTGAATGCGATTTGTACATTTTATGTAATATTTAGGTTAAAAGCAGTGTTATTAAAGCTGAAGCAAAATGTATCAATTCGTAATTAACGTAAATAACGTAAGTAACGTAACTACACTAGTTCACTTCGTTAAACACAAGAGATCTGTAAATATTTGTGTTATCATAAAGGGACGTGGTTTCTCCAATCACGCTTTGATTCGAGAAGCCAATTGATTAAGTTTGAAGAAAGTTCAGAATAAGTTAAAACATAGTTAAGCCACAAATCTACTTGAATGAGTGATAAGAGTGTTAAATAACGTTAGAAGCTACATAAAACATTATAGTACATGTGAATCGCGCTGGGTGTAATTTGTGTCGCTAAATTTAATTTAATTGCCACGTATTTCTTGGCAAGGCTGGGTATTGTGAGGGAAATTGTATCACAGAATAGATAATGCTTGTATGTGCACTAATATTAATATTCAAAGACACGTCGCTTCGCCGCAGTGTGTGGAAATGCGGCTACGTATAAAATTGGACTGTACTCGGGAACCGTAGGTTAGATTACCCTTTCATGCGATGGATTAAGTTTTAGAGCTTATTATGTAATTGTTTTTAAGGTATTATAAATATACTTCCTGCCGTACTCATCTTAACGGTCATATAATTAATATATTTGTCATAAACAATTTACGCTGAATTTTCTTTTCTGCGACTGTATAATATTTAGCATTATTTTAGCTTAGCAAACGGTTATTATATTGATCCACAATACGCTTTATCATTGTGTGATACCAACTGATAAGTTGTATTGTCGTAAAATATCTTCCCTGGAAATAATTGTTGAATCATCAGTTTAACTTCACAATTTTTGTTATGTATTATAAAATATAAGTTTACCAGATAGTAATTTTATACCAGAAATTACCTATTCCACGCTGAAGAGCTTAATGAGTACTTAAAGTTATACCGAACTTAAAAAGAAAAAGTTTTATTTGTATTGTAATATTACTTCGTTAATAAATCGAGTGAAAATGTTAAAGTAAGGGTTAAATTAGGTTAAACGAAGGACATAATATTTTAAATATGTTCAAGGAAAAAACAAAGAAGCATAATTTATTTTTCCGCTTGCAACACTTTATTACTTTTGTTGTCACACATTTCTCTCGTAATTTGAACAATGCTGGCATAAGCAAAATAAATTTGCTTAATGCAACTGCAATTTATGGGTATTTTTAAAATAAAACTTACATGGATACATAAACCCTTTATCGGTGCGACCTCGTGCATAAATCGCGCGCCAAAATTTCGCCAACAAGAGTTCCTAATTGGATTTTGTGTCTCCACGTATTTCATCCTTGAATGGAGGTAATTTATAAAAAAATATTCCTTTACAAATTGACATACATTTATCTCCATATTTAAAAAAAATATAAAATATATCTCGTGTAAAAACTACTAAAAAGTTACACTTCTGTTATTTATTGCAAGTGTAAAGTGATACATTTATTAAAGGACTAATGTTGACGAAATCGTTTTCGCAATAATCTGCGAACTTATTGAAGGTTTCACTGCTGATACAAATCGACCTTTTAATTACCATCAGAATAGGTGTCATTATAAATTCTTTCGAAATCGAATCAGTTAACATTACAAAATAGCTGACAATGTATTAGTGCTACGATTGACATGTATTCAATAACAACAACTGGAAAACAATAAAGCTGAATTAAATTGTATGATTTTTGCTTTGGGAAATTGATTCGTTTTTTTTACAAGAGCTTATCAGTGGGATGTAACGAATTGGATGTATTAATGGGCCAAGGGCTTTAGCGTGTTCCACGTATCGCGATGAGACAGAAATACGTAGGCTTGATAAGAGACGTGCATAATGACGACCAGAGTCATGATGTGATTCAATTTGATGCAAAACTTCCTATGGGCCGGGGATTTTAAAGAAAACATTTGGAGTGCATGCGAAATTAACTTAGATGTTAATTTAAGGAATGTTCTTTTTTAGTTGAAAAATAAACTTAAAATGTAATAATAAACGTTGATTACTCTTATTAAAGATGCATTTATTAATGGTAACCTAGATTAATATATAAAAGAACGTTGCTTCTAAGAAATACCTGTG